GACGGAACCGTGTGCCGAAAGCGGACGAAATGTATTTCGCTGGATCCCATTATCGAAAATTCAGCGGACCACGCGTATCGATAACATCAGGTTAGGTTCTCGGTAGCCGAAGCGGCCGATCTTGCATTCTGGTGAATCCGCGGTACGCGCGCAGAAGCATTGGACGCGGTCGCAGCACGCGGCGCGCGCGTTACGGTCGCACGACACGCGTCAGCGGTTCTCAAACAGCGGGACGCCTCCGGCCGGAATCGACGGAGGATGCGAGAAAGCCCGGGCGAACGGAAGGGACGATAAGCACGTACGGAAATCCGTGGCGGGTTCTGAATTTAAACGCGAACAGTCTTGACATAGTTCTAACTATTCAGGACTAATGTTATTGGACGGTCAATATTAGTGTGGTTCACGTGATCGATAGACGGTGGATACGGCTTCCTTTACACGCCATCGTTTTCTCTTCTATCGAGGATAAATTAATGAATTGATTTGTTAACGGCATTCGTTTGATTACTTTTGAAAAAAAAATGAATAAATATGTTGAAGTTCGTGGCGAGGATAACCTTTTGCGTTATAATATCAAATCATACACTTGGAAAATATTTTTATTGAATTTAGTAAGTACCGGTGATGTTGAATTTCGCTGAGAAATTTTTAACAATTAAACAACTCCTCAATTGGCACAAAACTTCATAAAGCAAAAGGCTCAACGTAAAGACCAATCAAAGAAAAATTGCTATTAATTCTTCTGAATCGTTGAAACAGTGACAGTCCGAACACAGAATTAAAGACCTGTCGCTATTATTTGCAACAGAACATTCGTTTTTGCGAATGATACAGTCGAGGAACGTATAAAATATTTTCCGTGAAACCTCCGACTGCTCGAGGAATGCTTTTGGCACGAATAGAGCGACGCCGTTGCCAGGTACGCTATTCAGATATAATAAAACGTTATCGAGCAGATACCGGGGACCAAGCAACGTTCCTCTCATGGAAAATGATATCGATGCTATATACCAAGCGAGGCATTGAACTCCATTAAAATACAGGCTACATCGTCCGGACCATTATTTTCCAATTAGGTTGTTAATGAGTAGATTATTAATTAGCGCCGTTCGAGTAACGATTTAACGATATACTAAAATTATTCCCGGCGAAACGAATAACGAAAGGAATTCACAGATTTTTATGGGCATCTAATTCAACGAGTGCGCGCGCGCTCTCGGATACAGTCGACCCACTACTTTGGCGGTCATCCAATTCCGACTTTGCAAAATTGTATTTCGCGTGGTAAAATCGCGCGCGCACTTGCGCGAAACGACAGATGCGCTAGCGGCCAAGAACGAGGCGTAGATGATCGATCGCCGGCACGTGCTATCGATAGATATCTCTTCCGCGTGTATTTACACGCGTTCCATATACCATTGAAATATATATACACATGTATATTGCGTAAAAGGGAACATAAAAATATGCGAAATTCGAGTCCCACCGACGCTCAAATGACTCTACCAAAATTGGAGGAGAAACCGGAAAAGCGTTCGTTGAATGATACAATTGAGAACACCGTCCAAAGGAAAAGAGTCCTTTGTATTATCTACGAGATTAATCGGTAAAAGCGTAGATCTCGCCGAGGTAGATGCAACAGAGGCCGCAGGCTCAGTATTGATCGCCGCGATCGGAGTTACAAGATTATTTATCAAGGCGCACGATCTCTTACAGACGTTCAGATTTAAATGGCAAGCCACGTGGCGCCACGTCGCGACCACTCAGCTTTTCTTAATTTCAAAACGCGCCAGGGAACGATCAAATTGTTTAATAAATACGATCGTTTTCACGTAAATGGGAAGATTATCTTTTCGCCGACATCCCTAACGACTCCGATTGGTGAAATGAAGTTTTTGCGATCCGAGACAATGTTTTAAACGAATTTATGTATTTGCTGTAAATGTCATTTTAATGGCGCTATTTGTATTTGCTCTGCATTGGCGAAAATATCCTTCTACAGTCTACTGAAAAAACGTGGAGTACATGGAAAACCACTGAACTTTATATTACTTCCAAAGTTCTATTAAAAAATTGAATGTATAATTTAATAAGACTCTTTACAAATTTATTTGAAAGTATTTTGGGAAGCACTAAAATTGTACTTCCATACGATGCGACTATGATATTAGAAACAATTACAACAGAAATTATTCAAATACACAACTATCAAAATAAAACAGAGTATCACATCCAGTTCAACACAGAACAAAAATCCAAGTACGTTAAACTGAACGTTTCCCAAATGTGTGTTTAGTCACTCCACAAAAATTCTCCCAAGAAACAACTGTTATTTTCTCAGAGGAGACAGTCTGTAGGAAGAACATTAAGTTTTCCGGAGCGCGAGTCACTAGACACTTGTGGACGAAAGGTCGGAAGCAGCGGTCGGTAGTCGACTGTATTGCATACGTGTCAGTCAGTTCAGTTTGTATCCGGTTGTGCTTTGACATTTGGAAGGAAGAAGAGACTCGTAAAACTTCCAGGCGAGCGTTTTGTTTGAAATTCCCGAAGCTTAACTGTCGTCGACATTCCGCGGTCTCTAGCGGGCGCGCGGCCGGTCATCACCCACCGTAAACAGCGCTTAATCGCGACACCGCGAGATAATAACAATTACTTAGCTTGTACTCCCGTCCGTCCGAAAACATTGTTTCGCAATTTCGCGAAACGCCTCTTCGATGCACCATGACACCACCGATGGTTCTGTTAATGTTCGCGTCATTGGGGACATCGGTCGCGTTGGCGGATCCACGATTCCGCGCTGACAGAGTACGAGAACCGCGGCTATTCCTGACACCTTTCGTGGAAACCACGACGCGGAGAAAAAAGAAGATAAAAGAAAAAAGGCGTAAGGTCGGTCGGCACGGATAAAAGAAACGGTGAGAGACTGATTTTGCCGTTTCGGAGAACGCGTGGCTAGCCTAGCTTAGATTTCGAAAAGCCTATAGGTACCCGGACACCCAGGCAGCGATATACCAAGATCGTTTACTTACGACACGATAGCAATGTGCATGAGATACGACTGAAATCTCGAAATGCAATAATTCTTTTACATTTTTT